ATAAGCTCTAGTGCATCTTACCACACATTATCTAAACTGTTCATTTTCACACATTATCTAAACTGTTCATTTTCAAGATTTTTATATGTTTATAGATCTAGATTTTATCATTTTTTAGAGTTTCAAATTTTATAATTAGAGATGAAAAAGGATTTTAAGATAATCTTAAAAATTTTATGATTGGAGGTGCACCCTTAAATGGATTGTTTAAGGTTGCAACCCTATAGAAACCACACCCTTTTAATAATTGAATAAATAATTTGACTTCAAATAAAATAAAATTTGCCACATTATGGGATAGAATTTAGAAGGACAAGAAATGTCCAAATATACAAACTCTCCCACCGAATTTCTTGAAGGAAAAAGTTTGTATAAGGTTGCAACCTTATACTATTGAGGAAAGGTGCATCTCAAAAATTCTATAATGGAGAGTGTTTCCACATAGAAAAACCTTCTAATTAATCATTTCGGCCTTGAGATGAATGGACATGAAAACAAAAAAGGGAAAATTTTGTATAGAACCTTAAGTCCATCCTCATTCCATTTTTCTTTCAAGTGGCATAAAAAAAATCTCAAAAGTTTTCAACGTACCTTATCATCTGGTATCTCCCTCATTATTCACTTTCGAGGTTCGACCATAAAAAATATCACTTTTGGCTGAGGCCCAACAAACTTTTTTTATATCATTTTCAAAAACTTTTTTTTAACCCAAAAACGTTTTAAACCCACCTATTATATCTCCACTCCATTATATCTTTTAACCCAAAAACGTTTCAAAAATATTTTTTTATTATAGTTTTTGCCTTTTGAACCCCTCAAATTGCATGCATGTCAAAAAAGGCAATTGGCACTACTTCACATAGAGTTGAAAGAGAGAAGTTACAAAAAATATAATAAAAAATATTTTTGATATGTTTTTGAGTTAAAAGATATAATAGGGGTGGGTTAAAAAAGTTTATGAAACGTTTTTTAAACGAGTTTTGATTGCAATGGTATAAAAATGTTTGTTGGGGCTAATTTTTATGATCAAAAGTGAATAAATAAAAAAGATAAGAGATAAGTGGGTACGGTGAAATCTTTTAGGATTTTTTTATGCCGCTTGAAAGAAAAAATAGAAGAGGGTTTACCATGAAATAAAATGAAAAATTAGGGTTCTATATGAAATTTTTTCAAAAAAATTTCAAGTTTAAAAAATAATATATCTTGTAAAAAGTCACATGAATGGTGTGTTTTCAAGATTTTCAAATGTTTATTAATACGCTCGTTCAGTATCTTTTTTTAAATTTTTTAATTAAAAATAAAAAGAGATTTTCAAGCCACCATGAGATTTTTGAATTAAAGATAAAAAAGAGATTTTCAAACCACCATGAGATTTTCAAACCACCTTGAAAATTGTTTTAAAAAACAGATTTGAAGGCAGCACACTCGCAAAACCGAGGGAAACCATCACAGAAAAGGGCATGCATCGACATTTTGATGCACTTTTAAAGGCAATTTCGGTACTTCTGAACTTTTCGGGATTCGCTTTAAAAGCGACAGCGTTAAGTAATGGAGCGGGAACTTTCAGTGAGAAGATAGAGTGGGAGAGAACCAAACCAGAAGAGTCGCGCTCCGATGTAATCTTTATTGTCTTTATTTTTTGCTTTTGATTGTGCATTTTTCGCCATTATTCTTTGATTTCTAGTGTTTCGGAGCTTCGATTTATGCAGGTTTTGCGTCTTTTTAACTGTGCAGTTGTTTATGCTTTTTGCTTCATCCTTCCTGCTTTTATCGTATTCTCAATGCAATGATTATTCAGGTTGTTGGGGTTTCAAGCTTCGATTTTATAATTTTATAGTTTTTATGCAATTAATACTCATTTAGAACCGTAATTATTAGAATCCGGGGTTTTTAGTTGATCTTTCTACCATTTTCATTCAATTTGGCTCTCTTTTAATCCTACTTGTTCAGTATTGAGTGTCTTGGAGTTCATTTTCCATCCATTTTGTTGCACATCGTGTATCATACTCCTTCAGATCTCAATTATTCAATCTTGTGTTTTTTTAAGACTTTTGGTGATTATTTTGTGCTTCATCAATATTATACAGTAATTTGGCCTTGATATTCAGTGAAAATGCTCATGAGTCTCATTCCTTCTATAAATATTTGATGCATACTCAATGTTTCCATCATCCTGTTGATCCTCAGGTTCCCTTACACTGAATCCTTGTGATATCTGTGCTTCTGTAGCTGGAATCACAACCTCAATACTGGGCTTGTGGTCTCAATAGCCCGTAGTTTTCAGCCAATTTTTCATCAATTGCGCACAAAAGGGGTCATAAACTCCATGAGGTTTGGCCATGGTTTCATCAAGGAGCCTTTCATGCTTGGGTTCCTCTCTTTCCTGTGATATTTGTCCGAAGAAATGGAGGAGTTATTCTACAGTCACATATTTTAGGCCATGTGGATGGAGATTTGAGCAAAAGCAGGTTTCATTTCCCAGAAAAAGACATAATCTGGCTATAATGAATGAGAATGGGGCTGGGGACGATTCTGAGAGAGTTAAAGGGGAACCGTCCACAGTTGTGATTGAGAGGCCTCCAAGATTCAATATATTAAAAGGGAAACCTTGGCCCTTTGGTGCTACTTATAGGGATGGTGGTGTGAATTTTGCCTTGTGTTCGAATGGAGCTTCCTCTGTGACTCTTTGTCTGATGAGCCTTTCTGACTTACAAGAGGTATGTCCTTGATAAATCTGTGATTGTTTTGTTCCTAAGTGAACTTTTAATGTTCCATAATTGCTGACTGTATTAATCAAGGAGATTATTGGTTGGTAGCGTAACGTTTATAAAATCGTTGTGCTTGATTATAAGGGAAACAGAGACTATGGACTGTCTGTTTCTGTTAATTTCGTTTGTGATCTGGTACTGTTAATTTGGGTTGTCATATTTGAAACCTGCTTAGCTTTCTTTTTTATATCCATTAAATTTGTGTGATAGGATATTTATGATGTGATAAGCCATTTGGGAGTTGCATAGTTGGTGACTTGCTATTTGTGCTCCCTGGACCTTGTTCCCCCCCCCCCCCTTCCCTCTCTCTCTCTCTC